ACATCGTTAGGAGCAGACCAAATATAGAAGCATTGAAAACGGATTTATGGAGAATTGGAGCGGATCATGTATTCACTGAGGAAGAGTTCAAACAAACATCCAAAGAATTTGTAAAGTCTATTAAATCTCGTCCAAAGTTGGCACTAAATGGGGTTGGAGGAAAAAGTGCTTTACAAATTAGTTCAGTTTTGGAGAGAGGAGGAACTTGTGTTACATATGGTGAGAGACTTGTAAGTTCTAAATTGTTTAAATGATTGAATTTCCAGGTGGTATGTCTAAAAAGGCACACGAATTCACTACATCTGCACTTGTCTTCAATGATATTCAAGTTCTTCTTTTCCTCCCAGTTGGTGTGCTCTCGTTCTAGGCGGTACGGTCGTCATCTCTCTGCATTTCTCCGTAAAGTATAGTGCTTGCGACCTCAAAAAACCGTGCAAAAATTGGAGACGCAGACATTTTACGCAACATTTTTACATTTTGCTTCAGTTTTTGTCCGATTTCCCATAGGATTACTTTTTCGATCCTTTTTTCGTAGTTTCAGACTATTTTTTTATATCATTCCGAACTTCCGAACGAATTAGAAAAATTGGAAAATTCTCTATCTGTCAAACATGATTCCAAAATTAGGATAGCGATTTACGAAATATTTAGGATCAAAACTGTACTTGCGAAACCTTTTCAGCTCAAAATATGTTTATTTGGGTTCAAGCCAATTTATATAACTCCTTATGGGGGAAATACGCAGCTTGGATTTTTGTAGAGGTTACAACAACTATTTGAAAAGTTTTAGTAGCAAACAGCTAAAATAAGTACCCAGAGTGTCGCAATCACTTTCTTAGTTTAGATGCCAAATGCGGGAACAAACACTTTTAGAATTCATTTTTCTTGCTATGTTTAATAACCTTCTAATGCGTTTGCCACTGGACAAGCATAATCCCGTCTTCTCAACGGCAGGGTGGACGTTGGTGTCTCCGCACATTGTCGGCAAAGACGACGCCAAAAGCACATGATCTCTCACCTTGCATCTCTCTCCCTCTTCTCTCCTTCTTTTTGCCCCAATGCTCAGTCACTACGCAACGACCACCTTATAATCAGTTCTGTCCTTTCTTTCCGTAGCTGTCGTCGTCTCCAGCCTTCTTCTAATAATCTACTATGTGTGCTTCTTGGCTCCATGTGAGCTCTCTCTCTTTCTCCCTAATAGCATCCGCCGTCATCGTTTTCACTTTCGTCTTCGTCTCTCACGCTTGTCCTTCTCCCTTTAAAGAAGGAGCCTCATTTATTCTTGCCCCTGTCTCTAGCCAATTCAATTCCTATCCCGATTTTGTCGACTCCGAAAAACGCTCCTCGCGCGTTATTTGATTCGAGGGGTTTAATTAGAAGATTTAACCATGAAGAATCCACCTGTAAGCGTTCATTCTGTTAATTTATCTCATTATCTGTTCTTCTGATTTCGCGGTTCTTCTTTCAGAAGACGTCTTCCAAAACATTGGGCAGGTTGATGATAAAGGGTGGTGCCGTGCCAGCTCGCCAAACATCGATCAACCAAAACGGAGAGAGCGGCGTCGTCGCATCTGAAACCACTGCCAACAACATAAAGGTTTTCATTTCCTACTATCCATCTTAGCTATTAAATAGTGCTAACCTCGTTGTTTCTGATTTCCGAAACGATCTGATTACGAAGTTCCTCTTAATTCCATGAGTTATTCCGTCTCCTAGGCAAAATGCCAGAAATTGCGAGACGATTTATTGGTTTTAAAGAATCTCTAGGATTATAAGCGATTATTAGTTCGTAGAAAGTGGTAACATAATCACTATACAAACTGTTCAAAAATTTCCAGAAACGCGTCGGAGAGGAGCTGAATCAGTTGGACATCGATTCGTTCGAAAGTGTTCTTCAAGACGCGGCTTCATCGAAACGGGTCAGTGGCTAGTGGTTCTTAGAATGCTCATTAAAATATGTGATCTTCATACTCTAATTTTAATTCGAATCAAAATTTCTCTCATCCATGAGGAACACTCCTTCCAACTCCGTTCAGGCGTTCCTTAACATTCACATTAGAATACGTCGTGTTCAAAAAGTATTCACTGCATTAACTACTCTGATTCTGGCACAAAGTCGATGACATCGAGTCTTTTGAAAATAATGCGCTCCGTTGCGACTCCTAATGATGACTTTTGAGACGCATAGGCAGCTTCTATCTATTGATGTGCAACTACTTTATTCCAACTCTTTCACCAAAACTTCTCCAATAGTGACTATCAAAATACTAAAATATATTCCTATGTACAAACTGTTCTTTTAACTGATTGCATCATCCCTTATCATTGCTTCTTTTTTCCTTTTTCACCTTTTGACATAACCTCCCTTCCTGCTTCCATGTTTGCGCCACAAGTGTAGTCATTCAGCTAACGTAAACACAATCAATTTGAACCCTGTTGTTGATATTTTGTTGTGAAACTGTCAGAGTAGTTGTACAGTGTTCAGTTTCGTAACTTTCGTTAGTATATATTTAACACAACCATGATCATCATGGCATGATGCAAAAATATCAACTATTGCGCGTTATTTTCGTTTAGAAAAAGTTTTCATGAAATTCATAGAACTTTCTTCAGATATTCCCGAAGAACGATTCATCTTCCCCGGAACACGAGTCTTCTTCCAATCAGGTGGACTTCAACATCATGAGTCTCATCGAAAATACCAAGCGGCAAGCGGCTAGTAACGGCACTAGCACTAAAGACTCGTGAGTTTTCTCAAACTGCTTGTGGACGCTTTGAATGTTGTACATTTGTCATATCCTTTTGTTCAAGTTTCATTCAAAACGTCCCATTTTTTCAGCGTCAAGTTCGACGACGTTGACGAGTTCATCGATGAGGGGTACTAACATAGCTAACTTGGAAGATTCTCTGAATTTTCTGAATTTCCTTTTTTCAGAGCCGATGACGTTGTGATCGGAAAACCACCTAACAAACCGATTCATCTGATGAATGTGACTTCACCGATTCGTGGCAATCCTGTTACTGACTACGACAGGTTACCCGAAACAAATGGAGTCTCTAATATTGGTGTCCATGATCCATTTTCACGTATGGAAATGGGTCACCAGACACTTCCTCAAGATATTTTGAATGCGGAGAGAATTCGGAACAGCCAAAAGAATGTGAGATGTGACGAAGTTAGTGATATATGCGATGATTGCATTCTTATTTAATTTTGCAGAATGAGCAACTTAACTACATTCATGAGAAAGGACTAAATGAGTATTCAAGGTTTGATACCATTCTTGGACCTGGTTAGTTTCATCTCCCCGATGGTCTTGGTTTTGTCTCAACATGAATAATTTTCAGCGTCGCATGGAGAGTTTGCTTCGTTTTCACAAAATTTGACTCCAGTCATTTCATGCGAACTGGGAGCATTGAACCCAGTCAGCATGAACGCAATGCAACACTTCCAGACATTAACACCAAACGGTCGTCTTCTGCCGGCTATTCCTCGCAAATATTTTTCTTCGAATGAAAATCACCAGCGTATCACAACTCGCCCAGCACCTCAGAAGTCGCCAGTCACCATAATGTTGCAAACAACTGCTCCATCTTTCCACAACACTACATCAGCAGACTCCAACATGGCGAACGTTCACTCGGGAACTCCAATATCTTCTGTAATTCCATCGGCCGTTGTGGAGGCTCAACTCTCTCCGGAAAGTGCTAGCAGCAAGAAGAAAGCTAAGAAAGCTGCTGCTAAGAAAGCTAAAGCAGCGAAGGAAGCCGCCGATGCAGAGAATGTTGTAATCGAAGGAGAAGAAAGAAACGATATCAATGAGAACGACGATAAAAAAGATACGGAAGAGGCAGCTATTGGAGAAACTGTAACAGACCAAAACAAAGCTTCCGGACAGACCAAGTCCAAGGCGCAGAAGGCCAAAGACAAGAAAAAGGCGAAGAAGGAGCAAGATGAGATGAAAGATATTGGTCGTGATGAAGAGAAAAATGATTCTTCATTGGTGGGAATTCAAGGGAAAGTATTTGTTTCAGTTCCGTTTCAGAAGGAAAAAAATATGTTGTCAGCAAAATCATTATTTTATCAGATATTATATTTGCATTACTTTTTGTTTCTTCCATATCTTCCTTTTTCAACTCTTTCTGTTCATCTTGTTCAATGTCTGTCGTAGATATCCGACCGGAATTTTCATATTTCTAGACTTGAAGTTTTTCCTGATGGTAGATCACTTTATTTACGCGCGCATTTTTCGTTCCGCGAATTTCATCGTTTCCAATCATAGTTCTGTTGAATTGAGTTTACCAAAACAGGCAATCAGTCGTTATTCGAATATCTTCAACTAATTTTCTGCTTCACTTTCCCTCTTCGAAATTTAACTATTTTTTTCTTTTTCTTTGAACTTGCTCGTTTAAACTTAAACATTCAACTAATATTTGGCTCACAGTTGGCATTCAAGTCTACTTGGATCACCCGATTCGAAGCACACATTTCAATATGGCTCCCTCAACATCTGTTCTACCATCACAAGATTCACTCGGATTCGAACAACCATTAGCTCGAATGAAAAACAACGCTCCATCAAAGTCTAATTACCTCAAGCATTTCCTGAGTGCTAAAAACCTTGGATTCAGTCAAAAGCTGAATCTTTGCAAAATTGTCGGTCTCTCTCCATGGAGTATCTTCTCTGTAAGTTGGAAGATTCGTAAAATTTGAGAAATTTTTTCCAATAACAGAATGCGAAGTAGTCCAGCTTGAACTTTTCATTGTTGTGTTGAGGTTCTCTAAAACTCAATTTAATGAGATGAGTCATCATTTTCTTAACTTGATGACATCTTGTATGGATGTAGTGTTATGAAGCTCCTGTTATTTTGTCGCCATGCTATCGTTTGCGAATTATTCTCAAAAAGTGTTATCAGCACTGATAAGAAATCTAGCGTTTCGAAAGAGGTTTTTTGTGCAACCATATGATGCAATGAGCCAACCATGTTCAGCACCAATATCCGCATCTCTTTTAGTGTGTTTCTTGAGTAAATTGCTTTGTATGTTTGTAGTTTCTATAGGAACTATGTTTTGATTTATAACTTTTGAGTCACGAGGATTAGTTAGCACCCAATTCGTCGTTTCCTCTTTAGGTGATTAGCAGCTACTGAACGACCGAAGATCATTAGAAGTATATCGATTTTCGAACTTTCTAGAAAAAAATAAACAAACCGATGATGTTAGTCATCGCTCCTCTTTTCCATTTCCATGTTGTATTCCTGTAATGTGAGAAACAGCGCGATGTTCTTCTTCTCTTTTCCTTTTCAATGTGATTTTTTTTTCTCGTTCACCTACATTCCTCGACAATCTTCGGAGAATCGCATCACGGTCTCAACTTTTTTTGTAGCACACACACTCTCGCCTAACTTCCTATTTTCTTTCTAACTTATAGAATGAGATCGGGCATTCCTTCTTTAGTGTGTTGGAGACGGGTATCGCTTGTACTATGTGTCTTTTCGTCTCAGCGTCTCCATTCCAATTTGGTAGTATACTCTCATTCTCGATGTCGACGACAACACCGCCGCCACCGCGCGCTCGCTGTCTTCCACATTTTCGAATCGACTCCGTTGGCGACGGAGAGCCCTACGCGAGTGGAGCTCCAGGAGGCTCGTCTGAAGGTGTCCTTTTGCGCTCTCTTCTCTGCGTCTCTCCTCGCGATTCTTGATTTCCATTGAAGGCGGAGTCGTTTCGCAGTAGACGTCTCATTCGAGGCCATGTGCACTATTTTCAAATCCAGAAGAACAGATGTTCGCGTCTGGCGTTTTTTTTCATAGCCCAACGAGGACGCATTAGACACCCCTTGTCTTTTTTCTTATTACTAGTTCCATGTTTTCAATATTACAACAAAAGCTGCATCGTGATTATAATTTTTTGAAAAGGCATCGACTTGATAGAAACCATTTTCATATCCATAGTCGTCATTATATATCAAGGTAGACGAGGCGTTATCATCTCATTCGTTCTTCTATTTCTTCCTACATTTTTTTCTCTATGTAGCATTCTCTACAGAAGATAGCTCGTCACGTCGTTGTTTGGTGGGTGGCTCTCTTCAGACATCAAAAGGTTCGATGAACCTAAGGTTCCTCTTGTTTTCTAAGAACCCCGTTGATTACTTGGTTCCTGTGCTGTTAGTTATCATGATTGGATACAAACTTTTGTACTTGCTGTATAGGAAGGTTGGTTTCTGAAGCGGACTGAAATGAATTCTCCCAAAATGAAATGTTAATTCGTAATTCATCCGATTTTTAATTTTTCAGGTCAATGCTCCTGAAGAGCCACCAAAGAACCAGCTGGACAATGGTCGTAAAACCGCTGGTGGCAAGAACAAAAAGAATGGGAAGAACGTGAGCTCGGAGTACACAGTCGAAGCCAATGGTAAGGATTTGAAGAGCTTACTTACTGTTGCTTAGTTTCCAACCCAAGTATTGCTGTTCAATATGTTCCGTTACTAATTCGTAAGATACTCTTTCCCTGCTCATGTTACAATATGAGGTAGACGATGTTTTCTGTTTTTCTTTCTGAACTGCCCTGATCGATCTTCCCGTTTGTAGCTTTCTGAGTCCAATAACTACTAGCTGGTTTTCTGTTTTAACAAATTTTCTCCGTGTTCACTAGAATTCTTTTTTTCAGCCAAAAATAGTAAGAAGTCTGGAAATGACTCTGATGAGATGTGCGATATTGGCACCAAGGGTGAGTAGTTGTTATTTCATTCAGCTTCTTTTTACACTTCATATGATTTCTTGCACCCTGCACCCGTCCACCCCATTTATGGCATGCTCTTGCACAAAACGGACTTTCCTTTATTTTTACCTTCTCAAATTTGAACTCATCTTCCAAAGGCTTCGTAATGGATATAAGTGCGTACCTCGGTCAGCTTTCGAAATCGGAATACATTTCTTTCTACAAAATTTAACTTCCTTGCATGATATCCCAATCGTTTATTTTGCCCTGAAATAGTTGCTCATGTATGGTGCGAGATAATCTTCACAGAGAAAAAGAATATTACGATTTCGATATAGCAAACTGCAATTTTATCAATTGTTTAGACTAAAAAGTTTAGTTTAGATAAGAAACCAAAGCTTCAAAAAAAAAGCCTGCGTCTCATAACTAAAGCCAAACCTCCTATTTGTTTACTTTTTCGTCAGCGACTCTATTCATCTGCATCCAAGTCTTTTCATTCCGACCAGTGGTCTCCCCTGTTTGTCTCTGTTTCCACGAAAACGCGGTGCGCCACGCAGTCCAAACGACGTCTTCTCATGGTCTCTGCGCTTCTCGTTTCTCTTCTCTTCTCGTGACCTTGCTTGCTCCATCTTCCCTTTCTCTCTGCCTCTGCGTCTGGTAGAATTATGCAATCTCTTCACCCATTTTTGGACCCCACACGACATTTCCATTTCGGACATCTTCTTATTGTTTCGGTACGAAGAGCTCATTACTGGCCATCGTTATATTTCGATGCAGTAGTCGTCATATTTTTTCCGCGCGGCAGGATACCTAGATCATCTCTCTCTCTCTCTCTCTCTCTGAACAATCTACGTCTCTCATGGCCACAATCGTTTTTTAATGAATGAGGCGCGCGTTTTGCGCAAAACGAGAAATCTTCGGCTTTAGTGTCTTCCTTGTTGGCGTTCTTTCAACTATCATGTTGTAAAGACAATATTTCCATAGTTTTAGTTTCTCTGCCGTCCTAGAATTAGCAAAAATAATACAATTGATTTTTTCCGCGTCATCTTTAACAGTCTTCAAAACATTAAACGAAATGATGCTCGTTGGTTATTTTCTCTCTAGATTCATCGTTTCCGTTCTGTCCGTTTTGTGATTTGCATGGCCGTAATTTGCAGGGGTTGGATCGCACTCGTTGGTGGAAATCTTGAAAGAACTTGGACTCGAGGTTTCAGATCTTGTCGAATCGAAGAAGAAGAACAAGAAGGGGAACAACGGGGGAAAGAAGAACAAACAGCAGGAGAAGAAGCAGGCATCTCCAAAAGAGACTGCTCGTTCCCCTCCATCCGACAACGAGACCATCCCCACAGACGACGGAGCTGACAAGATCAAGAAGCCAGTTCAGCCAACCAAAAAGAAGATGGATGAGGTCGCGGTGGCTGCTTCAATCACGTAAGTTTTCTTTTTGATTCCAAGCAACTTCAGTTGAGCTATTTTTTTTCAGAAAACGTTGTTCATCTGGCGTCGGGCAATCCGAGGAAGACGATGATCAGTCGTACGTTTCAGCCCAAGAAAATCTTGGAGGATCGACGAGTCGTTTGTCTACTCCACCGGTAAGTTTATCACCGTGTCTTGCCATTCTCTATTTGTTATATTAGCTTCAGGCGGAGTTTGTGGACGCTCGTCAATCTCGCGACGACATTATCGATAATGTGATGCTTGATCCAAATAACTATCGAGATGATGAAGACGTCGAGTCGCTTGCTAAGCAGCTCCAGCAACAAGAAGACGAATTCATAACCGTTGGGAAGAACAAGAAGAAGAACAAAAAGCAGTCATCAATCCCTGAAAACGTTTCTGCGTCTTCGACAGCTTCCTCTTCTTCTCCACCAAACCGTCGCAATACTCACCCAGATGCTCGTGTTAATACCACTCCTTCGGTTACATCTTCTAATAACCAACAGCACCATCAACGCGGGAACAATCGCACGGCTGCTCATCCCACGACACTTGGAGACTTTATGGAGAGTACTAAGAAGGACACTCATAAAAATATCAAGCACAAGAAAGTGATGAGTCCTATCAGTACTATTAGTCAGAAGAAGCAGATGTCTATCGAGGATCCAACTCCAAGCTCCCCTGCTTTCGTTGATGCTCTTGAGACTCCGATCTCTGTTAATACGGTGAGTCTCGACGAAAGTTGTGATTTAGAGGATGCAATTGTTGTAATCAGACACTTCGTGATCAATAAATATTTATTTATTTTCAGACATCAACATTTTCGTACGCTGACGCCGCCAAGAAGTCGTCTGGTGAAAACACTCCAGCTCAAGAAATGTCTCCGGTGCCGACATCCGGTTCTACAAACACTGCTACAATAAATCAATCAGCTCCTGCGGCTCACCAAAACTCTCAGGATCTGAAACAAAAAGCTTCTGAAAGCTCCTATGCTGCTTCCAAAGGGATCTCAACAGCTGTGTCGAGTGCAGTGCAACTTCCTGCTTCTTCTGCCGCTGTGGCTGATTCTGACATTTCGTTCGGTTACGAGGAAACTCCAGGTAAAGTTCATGAGTTATTTTTGGATTTCAAGAATTTATTTTACAGAAGACAAGCAGCTCAGACGAGAGCAGAAGGAATCTAGTGTTGTCATTGAACAAAACGTACCAATAAAACCTCTGGATTTCATGAACCAATTCAGAGATATGAAAGTTAGCGTGATGCCAGCTGAAGGAAAGAGCGAAAATAACATTATTGACGACCAAATTATGAAAGTTTGGAAGGCTCGCTGGGATGATTTCCAAACTAAAGGAGCTAGTGAGTTCATTGTTTCTTCTGAAACTGTGTTTTGAACAAAATTATTTCAGAACCGATCATGTACAATCCATCCCAGAAGAAGTAATTCTATCTTCTGCTCCACCCGGTGTCTATTCCCATTCTCCGTGTTATTCTTTTTCCCGATGATCACTATCGTCGATTTCTCGGAATTCATAGACTATCAATTTTTTTTTCCACATGCAATCATTTTCATATGCCAATTGATTTTTTTTTCTGTTGATACAAAATATAAGTTCAATCAATTTTCCCAACCCCTTGCTCCCCACAAACCCATCCACAGCCCCTTTAAAATCTCTAAATTCCTGGTAAAATTTCTTCCCTGTTCTTATGTGTTTCTCCAAACGTTTGCGAGTTCAATCCCCCAAAACCTTGGCCTGTTTTTCATATATTTATCAACCGGTCCCCTTCCCCCTGTTCATTTCCATGCATTGATGTCAACACTGAGTGCCTGATTGGGCATCAATTGACAATCCCATATCTTAATTTCTTCCCCGTCCCCCAATTCCTCTCCAACCCAAATTATTTCTTTGTGATGTTCTGGTTTTTTTTCTTCATATTTAACTGAAACTGTATCAGTAGACAAGATATTATAGTCATTTATGTCCCCCACCCCCTACACCGTCAAATGTCTAGAAACCTGAAATTGTTTTATTTAGAGCAGTTTTCTATTGTATTAGCTCTCCTGATCTTTCAAAACCATTGATTCCATTCTTTCATCCCGGCGTTCCAATGGTGTTTGCTTCCATCTTGGCTCTGAACTTTTTTTAGAGCATTGATATTCAACGTCGTTAGAACTGTTCTGAATGCTGGACTAATAAAAAGGAAGTGCACACTGTCATTCGAATGGTACTTGAATTCTTCGTTCTTGAAATCTATGTTTCTGAACTGACAATACTCAACGCGATTTTCATGACTGCTATTGTTGATAAAACAATTTTTGGGAAAAATTGGGCG